GAGAGGTCTTGGAATTAGATGAAATCCATCACTGAAGTGATCTGTAAACACTACATTATCTGATTCTTCAGAGCAAAGCTTTCAGGTCCAAGGATGCCATGTTGTTATGCTTGGCCCTCCAGCGTTGTCTAGATTAATGCTTTTGAATAAATTTTCAATTCCCTGCCATTTACAAGAAGTCTAGCACATCCTACAGCTGCTTTTCGTGTTTTTGATACCATAACAACCAAGTGAATATTTGAAGATGAATATTGATGGCCAGCTGAAGATTGAAAAGGCAGTCAGGGAAGGGTACTTCATTTGCCATACAATAAGTATCTTTCTTTCATTTGAACTATTGATTTCATTCCCTTGCTTATTAAAAATGTGGATTTTTCAAATGGGAAGACTTAAAAACCCTACATCCTTTAAATTTACTGTTGTGGCTTCATAGTAGGCAGCTACATTGTTCAGTGGATAGAGCTCCAGGCCTAGAGTCAGGGAGATCTGAATTCAAATCCAGCCTCAGACATTTATAGCTCTGTGACTGTGGGCAAGTCACTTAACCTTTGTTTGCTTTAATTTACCAGAGAAGGAAATGGCAAACCCCTCCAGTATTTTACCAAGAAAACTCCATGGATAGTATTGGCATGCTATGGTCCACTAGGTCACTAAGAGTCATAAATGACTGAACAACAAAAACTTCATAGTATTGATTCGATGCTTTCTTGTCCTGACTATTAAATTTAAATGACTTACTTTGATGTTATTGTTATATTGGCTGGGTTTTTATCCATGTTGGAGTCTCTGAATAGGAAGAGGTGAGGACATAGCCTTTCTCTCTGTCTCTATCTCTCTCTTTCTCTCTTTCTGTCTCTCCATCTCTTTCTGTTTCTCTGTGTCTGTCTGTCTCTCTGTCTCTCTCTCTTCCTCTCTCTCCCTCCTTTCCTTCCTTCCTTCCTCTCTTTCTTTTTTTTCTGTTTCGATGTGACTCACTTGCCAAAGAGTTCCTGGGGAAAAATTATAGAATGAATCACATAATATCTGAGAAATTTGCTTCAAAGATTTCCCCCCCCCAGTTAACTGTTTCCCTCCTAATTTTAGCCACAATCAGATTTGTTTGCACAAAAACTCCTTAATTTTATGCATTTCCTTCCATCATATTCTCATATACTTTTTCCGTCTTTGCTCCCTACTACCCCTACCTTCCCTTAATGTAGAAGAATGGCGTTGAAAAGGAGTGTGTTAGGCACCAATGCTCGATGTAAACAGTTTCTGTTCCTCTCTATCCTTCTGTCCCCTCCTGTCCCCTCTTCTCCCTTCTCAGTTGAGGTAAATTGCCCAGCATCCCTGAACATCTCCTTGGCCATGTTCAAGATCAGTGATTAGTAGGATAATTTCCAGGCATTTTAGAACCTTCCTCCTTTTCAGATGCCCCACTTTACTCTTTAGGCCCCATACCCAAGGATAAGAGGCAGCTAGGTGATAGGAAGGATAGATCATTGGACCTGGAGTCAGGAAGACTGAGTTCAAATTTGACCTCAGATACATATGATCTGTGTAATCCTGGACAAGTTACTCTGTCCGCCCCAATTTCCTCATCTAATAAATAGGAATAATAATAATAACTACTTCTCGGAGTTGTTGTGAGGATCAAATGAAATACTTGTAAAGTGCTTTGCAAATCTTAAAGTACTGCACAAATGTTAGCTATTATTATTATTATTAAATCTAAATACTTCCGACTGAGCAGGTTAGGGTTAATAATGAATCAGGGTACACATTTCAGTATTCCAGCCATGGAATGAGTTATTCTCTGCCATTCATTTTCCTTAGCCTGTGCTTGCAGCCATACCAGCCCTGTTGCTGCAATAATCAACCCTCACTTGCATATACTTACCTTGGCATCTTGTTTCCACTGGCCTATACTTCAAATTTAAAAGATAATAGGAAGACTGGGAACAACTTAGTTCATAGAAACTTCACAGAATAGTAGTGGAAAGAGACCTGGATTTTGACTCAGAGGACGTAGACTCAAGTCCTGATTCTTACTTCCTCATTGTGTGGTCTTGGGCAAGTTACCTCTCTGTTTTTAGAGCTAGCCTTGGGCAAGTTATCCCTGACCCAAACAACTAGTGGCACAGTGGAAAGAGTGCTATAGTTGGTGTCAGGAAGAACTGACTTCAAATTCTTCCTCAGACCCTTAGCTCTGTGATCCTGGACAAGTCACTTAACCTCTCAGCCTCAGTTTTCTCATCTGCAAAATGGGGATAATAAAAGTACCTATCTCACAGGGTTGTTAGAAACATCAAATAAAATAATATCTATAAAGCACTTTGCAAACCTTCAAGTACTAAATAAATGTTATCTGTTATTTTCTTTATCCTATCAATTTTTTCCTTTCTTAGATTTTGTTAGATGCTATTGTTCAGTCATTTTCAGTTATTTCTGACTCTTCATGAACCCATTTGGGGTTTTCTTGGCAAAGATACTAGAGTGGTTTGCCATTTCCTTCTCCAGCTCTTTTTTTTTAATAGTGGAGGAAATAGGCAGAGTTTAAGTGACTTGCCTAGGGTGACAGCTAGTAAGTGTCTGAAGTAGAATTTGAGCTCACGAAGATGAGTCTTCCCAACTTCAGGCATTGTACTCTATCTGCAGCGCCACCTAGGTACCCCCAAAAAACAACTGTGATGTATAGCAAATCACTTCTCTAGAGAACTGCATTAATTCTAAATGTTAATGCAGTGTTAAATGAAGCACATTATGTAAATGGTTATAAGTATGCTTACATTGAAGTAATTTTTTGGGTAAGTTATTGAACTTGTAATAATCAAGAGTAATATAGGGAACACTGTTTTATTTTAATTTGAAACTCCTACTATGTGTTTTATAACATTGACACCTTCAATCAGTTTCATATTCATCTCATAATCCTTGTCCTGACTCCTAAACTTTTTAGATATCTATTTTTTTTACTTTTGTAAAGTAACTTGATGTGAGGAGTATAATGGAATTACTTTCAACATTTTAGAATTTTGAAATAAACATCTAATTTTGTTTTATTATGGAGGACTCTCAGGGCATTAGTTTTCCCATCTGTAAAATAAGAGGGTTAGACTTAAATGATCTCCAAAATCCCTTCCTGTTTTAGATTCTAAGATCCTAAATATTAGATTGCCAAATCATTGTTGCTTGCTTGAGTACTAAATAATTGGGATATTGAGAGTTCTAGGAGGATCTCCATTAAGATCATACTGGTAGGGGCCTTGAAGTCACATAGCTCAACCCTCTCCTTTTATAGATGAGGAAAACCAAGAGCTGGAGAGAGAAATGATTTGCCCAAGATCCTGCAAGTAGTAAGTGACAGAATGAGAATCCTAAAATACTCTGACTTCAAAACTCATGCCTTTTATATTTCTTTCATCATTGGTAATAATTACTGATGCTAAAGTAACTCTAAGTTTTTCCTAAGGTAGGAAAACTTCACTTACAGACAGCTCATACATACAAGGGGATAATACTATCTCACTTCACTCATAGGAGTTTGACCTATTATTAGTGCGTTCCTGGCTTCTTTTCAGACTCAGCCAAAGTCTTGCCTTCTCCAGGAAACGGTTCCCAGTCTTCTCTAATCACAGTGCCTTCCCTCTGAGATTACCACCTATTTATTCTGTCTGTATTTTGTTAATACATAGTTATTTGCATGTTGTCTCCCTTAATAGACTGTGAGCTCCTTGAAAGCGGGGACTGTTTTTTGCCTGTCTTTGTTTCCCCAGGACCCAGCATAGTGCCTGGCACGTAGTAGGTGCTTAATAAATTCTTGTTGCCTTGACTTGATTTGCTGTCTTCCCAGATGTTATTGCCACCTTATAGCAACAGATCTTTACCCATCCAGATCCTGTATTCCCTGCCAAAGCTGCTATGCCTTTACCCTCACCCTGCTGGCACCTTTGTGCCTGAAGTCAGGAATAACTGAGTTCAAGCTCTTTCTCAGATACTTACTAGCTGTGTGGCTCTGAGCAAGTCACTTAACCTCCATATGTCTGGGCTTCTCCAACTATAAAATGGGGATAATACTAGCACCCACTACCAGGGATGCTGTAAAGATCAAGTGAGACAGTATTTGTAAAACAATTAGCACAGTACTACGGCTTGTAAGGTTCTTAATAAATGCTTGTCTCCTTCTTTCCTTCCTGTTGTAGTGGTCTCTACATCTTATTCTAATCCTCTAAATGTACATATAGAATCAATCTCCTGGCTGTCCCCCCAAACACCCCTCATACTCACTACCCATCTATATCATACAGACAAATCCTTAAGACTCTGTTTTGACTCCCATCTCCCTTCCCTGGTGACTTCACACTCAGTTGATCTCTCCCTTTTTTAATTCCTTAGTCATTTGTACTATAAAATGATCGGGTTGTTATTATATCATCTTATGCTCTTGTTTTCATGTATGTGTAACAGAGGAGAGCTCATATTCACTTCTTGTATATATGCATATTCACAGGTTGTCTTTTCCCAGGTGGATTGTAAGCTCTTTGAGATGTCTTATGTTTTTATATCCCCTCTAGTGCATACAGCTTAACATACTAGTCGCTTGTTAATATTTATTGTTAGTTAAAATTTGGCTCTTTTTTTTTTTAAACAGGACAGGAGGGAGTATAGTATTGCCTCAATAGTCAAGCTGCCCCTGGAGTGGCTAAGGAGAAGGCCAGGTGTCCCAGAGATTTTGGAAGGGGGACCAAAGAGAGGCTTGCACCCAGTTGGATACAGGAAACAATTTTGTTGAAATCACCCCTTTGAGGACCATTAAGAGGAATTAGCAGCAAAACTGACAGAGGAAAATATCTTTCTACTAGGAAAAAAATTCCAACTAATGAGACCTAATATTATGAACAAAACGCTTTGTCAAGCTATACTGTTTCCTTTGTACAAATTGTTTCAGCTTGATTTGTGAAGATGGTTCCTGAGCTTTGGAGACCTATTGACTAACTTTTTTCACTTGTCTTCTTTCCTAGGGCTGGGAGAAGGTTCTGCCCTTCTTCACCCAGATAGCAGATCCCATCCTCGATCTTTAGAGAAGAGCGCTTGGAGAGCTTTCAAGGAATCTCAGTGTCATCACATGCTCAAGCACCTCCATAATGGAGCACGGATCACCGTGCAGATGCCACCCACAATTGAGGGCCATTGGGTCTCCACAGGGTAAGAAGCACAAAGGTTTTGATGAGGAAATCCCACAGAGCTCTGGGGAAATGAAAAACATTCTTTCTCACCCATTGTTTGGTGTCTCAGATGCACAGAAGCTGCCTATAATATTCAATGAAAACTCTACTCCCTTGTTATCTGAATTTTATCCTACAAGGCAAGCAATTAAAAAAAACCCCAAAACTTTCTTCGGTTAAGGAACAGAGCTAAGTACTGTTGAAACCTTATGCTCAAGGAGAGATTATACTGTAACACAGTTGACCACATAGAGTTAGTGAATGGAACCTTGTTTACTGAACTGTATCGTACTGCTTGTTTATATAAAAAAAGTCATTAGCAAGTGAAATTAAGTATTTGTATTTCACCAAGTCCTGAAACATAGTTAGCTCCTTATGGTCTAAATACTGTAGTCATATTCAAGTAATGCAATATATGACTTCAAGGCTTTAACAGGAAAGAGAAAGTTACTAGAATTACCTCTACTAGGCAAGAACACATTTCTTGATTTCTTTTTCTCTGCCACAAATACGAGATTCATCATTAATTGAGCACTAGATTATCAAAAATAACCTAGAAGTCAGTGAGTCTAAGAGTCTGAGCCTCTAGATATAAGTAGGATGATTTCTTCCCTCCTAAGTACCATAAGCAACTGCCATCAGATCAGATATGGTATCTGGCCAAATAGTTTGGCTTATGCCACAGGTGGAGAGTGAAATCTATATGTGATTCAGCCTTCCAGCTTTTTTTTTTGGTTAAAAACATGTTTATATCGAAATAGTAGTATAAACACAAACTAATTTTTAACCAGTGGATATAATGTAATCTTTAATAAACAAACAACTCAAAATATAAAATTGAATACTTTTGAAAGAGATGAAGCATGCAGTGCCCCCTTTTCACTATACAATAGATTATTTCCTAATATGTCTTTCTCTCTTGTACTTAACTAGCAAGTATTTATTGAACATCTTCTGTATTAGCTGGTGATACAAAGACAATATTAAATAATTGTTGTAGCACATGTGCATGTCTATATATATGTATATATATATATATACACACACACACATATATATACACATACATACATATATACATACATATGTGTGTATATATGTGTATGTATATATATACATATATGTGTGTGTGTATATATATGTATGTATGTATGTATATATGTATATGTGGGGCAAATATGAGGTAATTGAGGAAGGAGACCTGGGTAGCTGGGAGAGATCCTTTCCAAGGTTACTGGGAATAGAAACTTTTGACTTTTCTTTCATTTTTTAACACTTAGAGCTATGACCACAGATCTCAGCCACATAAATGATGCCTTTAGTCTTTGTGCCTCATTGTGGCTTTTGACATCAATTGAAAGTCTTTTGGTCATATGAGTTTCCTTAGTGGTTTTCCTAACTAACTAGTCTTTCTGTAGTTAAGAGGTAGTTGCTGTTTTATAAAGTTTCAGTTTCCTAGGACAGCTCTTTATTTCCCTTTCTTTTTCTTCTGTCAGAGCAATAACAACAAAAAAGAGAAATATCTCAGCAATTCTGTCACTGTCTTTTGTCCAGTCCTGAAAAGGTTACTCCAACAGTTTGATTCCATGGCACTGACTTCTCTCTCCTTGAAGCTTACTATTCATCAATGTTATTCTATATAGAATGACTCAATATTCTTATTAACTAGATTGGTGGCTTTCAGATTCTTTCAGGCTTCCCAAAGAGGCTTTGCTGTTTTTTCCTTCACTGTGTTTTAGAATAAAATTGATAAAATAGAACATGTTTAAAGTAGAGTTTTAAAGTGGTTTCTTCACATGATCCAACTATTTTAGATGTGTTAAAGTTGTAGATGTGTTAAAGTTGTGTTTAGATGTGGGGAGTGAGAGACTGTTTAGGAGAAGTTAGATGTTGTCTAGTGTCAATTCTAGACATATTCTTCAAGAATTTTGATTATTCACAAAGAAATAAATTATCCTTCCCTTAAAATATTCTTTTGGTAAATTATGCATTGGTTAAAACTATAAACATTTTGAAAGCTCCTTGATGGGTCAGACTTAAGTTTTTCACTAAGGAAGCCTTGCAAGGTTCTTCATTATCAAACAGAAAAAGTATTAAGCATTGGAGTATATAATGCCATAGTTTATTTTTAATAGAAGTGATTGAAGTTGCTTGATGCCACATTTTAAATTTTAATAGTAATTTCTCTTGAATCAAATTATTTTTGTTTTGTTTTTGTCTGGTCTTTTATTCTATTGGAGTAGGAAACCCCTGGTATGGAAATTCCCACCACTAATGCAGAAAGGCAATTCTGTTGTAACTTACTGCCTTAACAAGTTGCCTAAAGCACTAAGAAGTTGTGACTATTTTTTTTCCTGAAGAAGTTTCTTAGATCACACTAGTTACAAATGACTCTTTCTACTTTCATCTCTTAAATACACACACACACACACACACACACACACACACATCCGTTCAAAAAACTCCTCTTTTCTATGACCAATTCCTTGACACATATTTCAACAATATTCAGGATGATTATGAGGTGTATAAAATTTTTGGTGGGTGTCTTTTTGGGGGGAAGGGAGTTGATCCAAAACTGTGATTTCACTGGCATATCAAATTTCCAGTGTGGAAACTATACCAATATAATTCCATAAGTAGTCTCTAAATTATAGCTTTAGAGAATTGAGGGGTTAAGTGACTTTGGTTGTGATTACATGGTTAATATGTATCAGGTGCAGGATTTGAACCTAGGTTTTCTGACTCCAGTAAGAGCCTTCCCATCCACTATATATATAGTTATACTGCCTCTCAAGAATAATGAATATGTGAGGCAGCTATGTGGTACAGTGGATAGAGCACTGGCCCTGGAGTCTGGAGGACTTGAGTTCAAAGCCAGCCTCAGACACATAACATTTAGTAGCTGTGTGACTCTGGGCAAGTCACTTAACCCCATTACCTAGCCAAAAAAAAAAAGGAAAAAGTGAGGTTTTTTTTTTTACCTGTGTGACCCTGGGCAAGTGCCTAACTGCCACACCAAAAAGCCAAAAACAACAACAACAACAACAAACAAAACAAAACACTAACCTACAACTTTGCAATGGATAGAGCACTGGCCGTGGAGTTAGGAGGACCTGAGTTCTAATGTGGCTACAGACACATGATACTCACTAGCTGTGTGACCCTATGCAAGTCACTTAACCCCATTGCCTCACCAAAAAAAAAAAAGAATAATGCACATAATGTACATAATTCACCAAGACTTCAAAAAAATGGAAGAAATGGTTTGGGTGTGCAACTAGACTCCAAGGTTGTGGCTCCACAGAAAACAATAGGGATAACCCTCATGTTGCAGAAGATTTAGTTTAGTGAGAGAGTACCTCAGTAGCAAAACACTTCTGTCCAATGTTCTTCCATTTGCACATCTTGTGCCTACTGGGTAAAACAATACATTTTATGCTATTTCACATGGTCCATCAGAAAACACTTAATGAGCGTTCTCTATGTTCCAGGCTCTAAACGGGATTCAAAGAAGTAAAAGACAGTCCCTTGCCTGAAATGGCTTACAATTTAGTTGAAAGGAGTACAGTTAAATAACACGAGGTGACAGTATAAAAGATAGCATAAGGCAATCAATCCATAACTTATTTCCATGTATTCACTATAAGCCAGCAGTTATCAGACTTTTTGGTCTCAAGACCTCCTGAAATTTATTGAGGGCCGCAAAGGGCTTTTGTTTGTGTGAGTTATATTGATCTATATTTACCATATTTATATAAATAAAAACTTCTTACTATTGTTATTAAAATAGCTTTGTTCTTACAGACCCCCTGAAAAGGTCTCAAAGATTCCTAAGAGGCCCTGGACCACGCTTTGAGAAATGCTGATGTAGACTATAAGTGCTATGAATTTAGAGAATGAAGTAAGAAACTCTTGAGATGGATCTTAAGTGATAGAGAGAGGGGAAGCTAATTTTAGATAGATAATGTGAGCAAAATCATAAAGGCAAGAAAGCATAAGGAATATTTCAGGGGAAAGTAGGTTTTTGTTTATGGGAGTAATGGGAAATAGGTCTGAAAAAATAAATGAGGTAAGATTGTGAAGGAGTTTGAACGCAGGCATGAAGAATTTGTCAGCCCTTCAATAAACGTTTATTAAACACCTGCTGTGTGAATTGCATGGTATAAATATGAGGGAGTCACTGAAGATATTTGAGCAAGGCAATTAGTTGATAAAATGGGATTTTAGAAGGTTAATCTGACAGTAATGTACAAGGTAAGATACAATTTAATAGTCCATGTACAAAGGGATGAGGACTAGATATCAGTGGGAATAGAAAGCAAAGGATGGATAAATTGCTTACGGAAACATGATTCATAGCCATGCTCTGGAACTGGGCACAAAACCTGACAGTATCCTAAGTAGTTTTATTCCAATTAGGAATACCAACAAAGACATTTTTCTATTGCAGTGGAGATAATAGTACTGGTAGCTTTTTAAAAACAATGAATTAATGCCATTATTAGTCAGAACATAATTGTTAGCAAGGACAGACCAAAAGCACTGGACTATTCTTTTGGATAGTACATTAAAGAAAATTTTCCCTTTATCTGCTGTGGATCCAGTATAATTTCATACATGTGAATTAATGGAAATTTTAGCAGTGTAGCTAAAATTAGCACTTAAGTAAAATATACTGATAATGAAGTAATTTCTTGGTATAGAAAAGGGCCAAATTATATATTCCTTTTGTCATACCTTTCATGGCACCATAAGAACCAAAGAGGTGATTTGCCCATTGTATCCTTGCCAAAATAAGAAGATCCTGTAATTGAGGGCTCTTGGTTACAATTAGGTTCTCATTCTTAGCTAGCATTAATTGGCATCTCCCTTTTACTTGCTTGAAAGAAAGCCAAGCTTAAACTGACTGGAGATTGAATTTCCCACTACCTAATAATTGTGATGCTTTCATATCAGCACTAAATAAGATTGACCTACCAGTGTATACCTTGTGTCTCATACATAAAAAGCTGGATTTGAGTATTCTAAACTATTATCACTAGCTTTAAATTGACCAAAAAAAAAGAGAAACTTGCTAAAGTAGGAGATCAGGGTGCCAAGGAATGTTTTGAGAGATATAGAAGGAGAGGAATAAAGGGGACTTTCTACAAAGAAGAGAGAAGTAAAAATAGATAGCTGACTAGGTGATAAAATGAGATGCAAAATAGGTTGAGTGAGCCAAGATAGGGGGAGTGGAAAGGAGAAAGATTTAGAATAACATCCCAAGAGGAATGAGAGGGGAGGCAAGCAGATTCAGAACATGTAGCCACTCTGTAAATAAGAAAAATGAATATTTAAACCAAGACCACGGCTTTGGAGTCAGAGGACCTGGATTCAAACCCTGGCGCTGCTGTTTTCTATATGTATGTCTTTGGTCAAGTTATTTCAACTCTCTGGGCTCCAGTTTCTTCATCTCTAAAATGAAATTGTTAGACTAAATAATCTCTAGGGCTCCTTTTGCTGAAACTCTGTAACGCTATCTATCAATTAACATTTATTAAGAACCTACTGTGTACCAAGCACTGTCCTAAGCACTGGGGATACAAAAAGAGGCAAAAGACAGTCCCTGCCCTAGAAGAGCTTACAATCTAACATCAAAAAAAGAAAGGAAGCACATAGCATATAAATGAAAAAGGAAACAATTGATTTGCTCAAAAGAGTGGACAAATGAAAAGGAAAATGTGGAATTCATTATACATCCATGCAGGTAATCTTCTCTTTTCTCTATCCCCATTCTCCCATTCTAATCTTGCTATGATCTGGTTTGACTCTCTGGAATATTCTCCCACTACCTCATAACTGCTGTTGAAATCTCTTCTTTTTTCAATGGCTTAACTTTGGTATCACTTCTTCTATGAAATTCCTCTGATAATAAATGGTTTTTCAAATGAAAGGAATCCTTCCCAACTTTCCAATAAACAGAAGCAAATTTGTCCCTTCGCAGATTTGTCAACGAACTTTTTTTATGCCTTTTCTTTGTCTTCATCATATCTTCCTTTGTATATACTAGTATTATAGTAAATTCCCCTCCTTTGTAAGTACTAGTAATAAATTCCCTTCCTTTGTAAATACTAGTAATATAGTATAATATAAAAAATACTTCTAATTAAATACTAGTATTTAATTTTTATGTAGTATTACTTAAAGGTTTGCAAAATACTTTACCTACATTATCTCTTTTGATCCTTCTGTGAGGCAAGTGCTATTATATTACCATCTTATGGATGAGGAAACTGAGACTGAGATTAAGTGATTTGCCCCTAGTCACACAGCTAATAAATGACTGCAGCAAGGTTCAAAGTCCAGTTGTTCCTGGATCTTATGTCTAATGCTGTAGACGCTGACCCACCTAGCTATCTCTTGGTTATTTGTGCGCACAGTTTAGTGTAACTGTTTTTATCATAGGCTCCTCTAGGGCAGACAACCGTGTCTTCTTTCATCTTGGCACCCTTAGCTGCTAGCACAATGTCTTAGACACAATAAGCCTTAGTCCAGTTGAATTCATTTGCAGGTATAGTTCAGCATCAGTTAACCCACAGTTTAAGAAATTCTGAAGGGGTCTGGAGTGGAAAAAGTTTAAGAAGCCCTGGAGACGGACTCAATGACTTCTGCAGTCCTTTCTAGCCTTAGGATTTCATAATTTTAAGTAGAAAGTGAAAAAAGATGTGCTTTAGAGAAAAACAAAGTTTGCTCCTACCAAGACTCCAAGGCACATGACAAAATCTCCATGCTGTCTTTCCCCTACCGCCCACCAAATATTGACACCTATAGAAAACAGCACATAGAATTACAGCAGCATCTTATTTTTTAAAGCTATCTGAGAAGAAATAGTTTGTTGATTCTCAGATACACTGTGAAAGTGATGCTCTTGCATTTTATATTTTCCCTCGGGAAATGCCATATAGTTGTTTTTTTTTTTTAAGTAAAGGGATATGGGAAGAGGAGGGGTTGGCCCATGAGTGTTGGCTTATGGCTAGAACATGACTCAGTGTATGGAAGTAGGTTCATGCAAAGGATTGTTTGAACCATTTTCATAGCATCAGGAAATCTTTCCATATTTCTATAATTAAAATGTGAATGATTTTTTTTTTCTTAACTAATTGAGGAATGGAACTTCTTTTCTGGTCCAGAGGCCTACCTTATAAATACAAAGAATGAGATTTGTAGGGAAGATAAAGATTATGCCTGAGGGTGATGATTCTGCCACTCTGAGCTATTTGTAACCTGAGAAAATGCCTGTCTAGAGAGTGGAAGGAGCCTGAATCTGGAATCCAAGAACCTGAATTTTAATACTGCATTTGTTACTATCTTTGTGGCCTTGGGAGAATTATTGAACTGCTTCAGGGCTCCCTTCTGTCAACAGTAAAATGAGGGAATTGGGCTACATGATTTTTAACATCTCTTCTAGCTCTAAATTATATGCTCCTATGGCATTTTTCCTTTCAGAAAACAGCAGTGGTTGCCATTTCTCATGTATTTTTTATTTTTAAAAAAATTCTCTTCCTTTTCTCCTGTAGATGTGAAGTGAGATCTGGTCCAGAATTCATTACCAGATCTTATCGATTCTATCACAACAATACCTTCAAGGCCTACCAGTTTTATTATGGTGGTAACCGCTGTACCAACCCTACCTACACTCTAGTCATCAGGGGTAAGATACGGCTTCGTCAAGCATCCTGGATCATCCGAGGAGGGACTGAGGCAGACTACCAGCTACATAATGTCCAGATCATCTGTCATAGTGAAGCTGTTGCTGAAAGACTTAGTCAGTTGGTAAATCGCACATGCCCAGGTTTCATCACCTCAGATAACCCCTGGGTACAGGATGCCACCTATGACTTATGGCGAGAAGAAAATGGCCGTGAATGTACCAGAGCAGTGAACTTTGCTATGCATGAGCTTCAACTGATCCGGGTAGAAAAACAGTACCTTCACCACAACCTGGATCATCTTGTGGAAGAACTGTTCCTTGGTGACATTCACACTGACTCCAGCCAAAGGATGTTCTACAGGCCGTCCAGTTACCAGCCACCCCTGCAAAATGCCAAGGTATCTGTTTCTTTGTATTGTCCCAGGACCACCAGGGATCTTCCATTTTACATTTAAGATGAGCAACAAGATTTCAGCAGGTTTTTTGTGCCAGTGTGAATTCATAATAGGGTTTAGGATATGGCAGCCTAGCAGTTGAAGCAGTGATGCCTTTGAGTAATGATAGCAGTAGTTTAAAAATGGGCTGGATCATATTAGGGAACTGGGCTGCTGAGAGGTGAAAAGTAGGGGTAGGGATAGGGGTAGGAGAAAAGTAGAGAAGGAAAAACAAAAGTGGGAGTGACAAATGAAAATTGTAGCTTCAATGATGGTAATAATATTAGCTAGCATTTATATAATACTTTATGGTTTGCAAAGCATTTTACCAATATTATCTTACAACAGCTTTGGATAGGTTATTTCCATTTTGTAGATGGGAAAACTGAGGCAAATGGGTTAAATGACTTTCCAAGGGTTATACAGCTATTAAAATTCTGAGACCAGATTTTATTCGGGTCTTCCTTAACTCCACACCCAACACTTTATCCATGATACCACCAAGCTGCCTCTAGCAATGAAAATAACTTGCTTATGCTCTTGTGTGACCTTGGGTAAGTCACAACTTCTTGGACTTCAGTTTTCTTATCTATAAAATAAAAGACTTGGACTAGTCAGTCTCTGAGGTCTCTTCTAGTTCTAGATATATGATCCTATGAAGATCTTTGCAACACATTTTTCTCACAACGGCTTTATGAGCTAGGTAATTTAAAGATTATTATCTCCATTTTCTAGATGCAGGAACTGAGTGTCAGATCAGTTCAGGGACTTACCTGTGTTCCCATAGCTAGTAAGTGGCAGAGCTAGGACTCGAAGCTGAAGTCTTTTGGTTACAAGCCCAGTACTTTTCCCACTACTCCATGCTATCTCCCAGAAGGCTTGTGAAAAGTCTATGTATGGTAGTAGTGATCCTAAAGGGAGAAGAGGAAGGCAGACCGGAGAAGAGATTGGGGAAGTAAGAAAGAGCACAATTAGTAAATATGAAGAAGGAATAATACCAGGTAAGTGATGACCCTAATGACAACAACAATAGTATCATGCATTTACAAAGCACTTCTCTATGAGAACTTAATGCATATCATATATGTTACTCAAAGGACAGACTCAAAAAGTCAAGCACACAGTATGTCCAATATCATACACATGTACCGAGGGAGTGTCTAGCTAAAGGTACTCAGGTCCCTTTTGGGTGCTGGGTCTCTTACAGGGCTGTGCACAAGCTTTACTGTGTTGTCATCCTCACTCAGTTGCATAGCACTGATTGTATAGCCACATAGTGCAGATAGTTTCAAGAGAAAAGTTCAGTAGGTCTGGCAACAGCCTATGGAAGTATGGGAACTTGGAAGACAGGGAAGTATGGCAGCTATGAGTTGAGCTCCAGCCACTTAGAGATAGCTAAGAATGGAATAGCCAGAAGTAGAATGCAGCCAGGGTTAGGAAAGTTCCCCTAGTAAGTATCAGCTAGAGTGTTGACATTTCCAGAGTACTTTACCCAGACACTTTGGATTTTCTAGTTTCTTTGGTGATACGCTTAGGAGAACATTGACTCCCTAATTGAATTGATCCATTTGCTGTCTACTTGAGGGTATACATGTGCATGTGAATGTGTGTGTATGAATTAGAATAATTTTTTTCTCATGCTCTGAGGCAAATCACAACCAGATGAGATAGCACAGAATATTTCCTTTCTCAAAGACTACTTAGTACTAGAGATTGTTATTTGAATCTATCTTATCACGAGTTCACACAACAAAACACTCCCCTTTTATTATAATTACATAAAATCTTCTGAGAAAGCTTCCTTGGCCAGGGATATTTCCTCCAAATGAATCTTGTCATGGCAATGTCTTATTATATGTAATTAAAACATGTCTGATGAGCCAGTGCACTAAGATGCAGAGCCACTTGGAGATCACTCCAAGTTGGCAGCATGCCAGAATGATGTCGAGGGCCGTTTGTTCCAAGGGGGAACATGAGCCAGAGCCATTACTTTCTGCCTCATCTGTTTCAAACTATGTGAAAAGAAAAGGGTGAACTGAGTATGAGGAAAAGGGAAGTCTTTAATTCTTGGTCTTTGTGGTTGTAATGAGAAAGAGCTTCTCCATGTAAAGTCTCTGGACCCCCAAAATGTTCTTCAAACTGGTAAAGTAGGAATTTCTAAAGATTACCCCTTTCAGTAGGTTGATTCCTTGGAAAATAAAAAAAAGAGGAGACAGAAAGGAAAAAAATTTTCTTCCAAGAATGATAGGCAAGTCTTCAATGAAATCTTTCAAGGAGACTCATGGAATCTGAACAGTTGTTAATCAGCTTGAAGTTTCATTTGGGGGTCTTGATTGTCAGAATTCAGTCTTCTGATTGGGTAACGCGTACCTTTAAGGCCCTAATTTGAGATGGTGTAGGAAAAAACAACAACAATAAAAACTTCCTTTTGGGTATTAGGTTTCATTTTCATAAGTCAAGCCATCTCTTATATATATATATGTGTATATATATATATATATATATATATATATATATATATATATATATACACATATATATATGTATGTGTATATATATGTATATATATGTATGTGTGTGTGTGTGTGTATATATATATGTATGTGTATATATATATGTGTATATATATGTATGTATATATATATATATATATATATATGTATATATGAGGATAGAAAATGACTTTGATTTTGCTAGTACAGTGAGCTCCCAGGTAAGAGAACTCTCTCTACCGATGCAGTTTGGCGTCTTCTCTGCAACTTATAACTTTTAGAGAATTGCCTAGAGCAGTGAGAAGTTAAATGAATTGCCACGAGTTATACAGCCAGTATATGGCAGTATATGGACTCAAGTCTTTATGACTCTGAGGTCATGCCTCACTAAGCCATACTGCCTCTCATGATAATGAGAAGTAGGATAAAAAGGGTTTGGGAAATGTAGAAAATTTATATTTGCCAAAGCACCAAGCTCAACCTCTCATCCTACCCCTTCCTCGCCCTTCATCTTCCAAATATTTAATGCAAATGCTAAGAAGTACAGAGGCAACATGGAGGTAGTAACATGGTAGAATTGAGTCAGGAAGATGTAGATTCAAATATTGTAACACACACTTCACAACATGTATAAGGCTCTACATTCCTTGGGCAACTCCCTAGGACAGGCTGTGATTTGAAGGCCAAATGATACAGTATAAAGTATGCTGCTGGATTGAGGGGCGGAGGCCCTGGGTTCAAATCCCAGATCTGCTGCTTACTACATGTAAATCCCTTCACATCTCTGAGTCTCAGTTACTTATTTATAAAATGAGGGGGGATTGGTCTACTAGATGGACTTATGATCTGCTTTGGTAGAGCACATTCCCCATCATGCTTAAATCACACATCTTCACATAAACAAAATTGACTTAGTTTAATTTTATCTTCTTCAAATTGGCTGGAAAATAACCAAATTTTAGTCCAATCAACAAACACTTATTAAGCACTTTCTATATTTCAGGTGTTGTGTTAAGTCCTAGGGTTACAAAGGAAGGCAAAAGCACGGTTCATGCTCTCAAGGAGCTCCCCCTCTAATGGAAGAGAAATTATGCAAACAACTGTGTAGATATAAGATACATGTACTGTAAATGGATGGCTATCTTAGAGGGAAAACATTAGCAGGGGGAGGGGAGAGAAGTACCAGGAAAGGCTCTTTACAGAAGGTCGGTTTTGAGATGATTTTTGAAACAGACCAGAGAAAACAGAAGGTGGAAATGAGGAAGAATCACATTCTAGGGTTAGAGGATAACCAGTAAAAAGGTAAAGAATCATGAGGTGGAGTGTTTCATACCAGGGACAGCATGAAAGCCAGTATCATTGGGTTATGTAGTATGTGGAAGGGAGTAAAAGTGTAAGAAGACTGGAAATGGAGGAAGGGACCGGATTTGAAAGGCCTTAATAGGATATTCTATTTGGTCCTAAAGGCCATAGGGAGCCATTAGAGTTTATTGAGCAAGGAGGCTGTTACACTGTCATATCTGAGCTTTAGGAAGCTCACTTTGATGGCTGATTAGAGGATGCAGTGGAATGGGGAGAGACTTGAGACAAAGAAAACAATTGGTAATCCAGCTGTCAGGTGATGAAGAACTGTACCCAGGAGACAGCCGTGCGAGTGGGGAGAAAGGGACATACACTAAAGATGCTGTGGAAATAGAAATAACAAGATGACCAGAAATTGGTTATATGGAGCTAGTGTGAGGGAGGAGTCAAGGATGATGACACAGAGATTGCAGGACTGAAGAATGTATATCAAAGCATTTAAATAATCTACATAGAATTTATGTCATTGAGACATGGTATAGTAGAATGAGCACTGGTCAGAAGATCTGGATTCCAGTCTGACTTTTGCTTCTGTAACTTTAGACACATCACATAATTGTTTTTACCCTCCTAATGATTTCTGAGGTTCTTTCCAGTTCTCAAATTCTGGGATGAAAGGAATTAGTTCATCATGACATTCTTTTCTTTTAAACTTAGGTTTGCTTCATTTTCTGTTCTGGCTTCTCAGATGGGACCAGGGAGACTAAAAATCAAAGGGTTTTTTTAAGTGTTTAATAAGGCTTCTGGCTTCTGCCCATTCTTTCCCACCCCATTCCCCCTCCCCTACTTTCCTATCATTTCCTTTGAACTCATAAGAGGGATTTTCATCTTGGTCAGTGTCCATCCTCAGAACAGAGCCCATCTGTAGTGAGAACAGAGACATACAGAGCCCTTTGAAAACATCTGAGGATTAGAAAGATTTTTTTTCAGATCCTTCTGATTAAAATATGAGGGTTGGCTGAAAAGCAGGGTGACCAGTCCAACCCATGACACCACCAAGCTCACCTCGACTAACTCCCTCTGGGACTACACACACACACACACACACACACACTCTGAATGTAAGGAAATCTCAAGCACCTCTAAGTTAATTGGCATTAGCAGAAAATAATTTGGTGTGTTGTTGTATGTCCCCCACCCTATCAGCCATGGAAAATTTCCTGTTAGTGAGAGTCCTTAAAAATTGGAAAGGGAATTAAGGGAGATTGTATGATTACCTTCTTTAGCAGTCTGTTTTAAAAATGGAGAGATTGATCTGAACTGGTGCAGTACTTCCCATCCAAAGGGAAGGAGACGGATTGTATGAACTCCTTAGGTCCCTGCTGGTCCTACATTCTGTGAAAAGCTGAAATGACAGTTGACCAGGGAAAACCAAGATATTTTTCTGAATGTTGACTACAAAGACTTTCCCCTCAATTTTCTTCTACTTCCCTAGCCTGGCAAAACAATTCTAGGGAGCATTAAACAGGTTTGAACCTCTGTCTGCATTAAAATCTGAAATGGGGATTCAGTTTTCCCCAAAATAGAGGAAACAGGTAGTCTCAATCCTAGGCCTGATCCTCCCAGGCTCACTGCACTTCCTAAGAGATATCAGTGCAGAAGAGTATAAAATAGAAGTCACCACAAAGGCAGAAAGCCCCCAATTCCACATTCCTAGGGTGTCCTGGCATCTTGGGCAATTCAAAAGGACCATTCTTCTCTTGTTCCCCTTGTTGTACCTCTTGGCCCAAAATCTGCAGTAAAGTCATCAGGATGTTTTTAGATCCCTTCCCTAGGACAACTAGGAGTAGGAATAAATGGACTTAGAAATTGGTGTCTTTCCAGATGCAGCCAAATGAAAAACCACAGTTTTTCTATGCCCGCTTCAGGCTGCCATACCAGCAGGTTGTTAACCTGGTTGTGGGTTGCGGTGTTTGCTGAATACAGGAAGAAAGACTGGAGAAGCTGCATTTTAAAAGACCGCACAAGCATGCCATTGAAAGGTTATAACCCTTCTTCTTTGAACTCTTTGCCTTTCCTAATTGCTGGTCCCATAGAGACCTAGCTGAAAATGAGTTTAAATGCTAAATTGAGTTTGAAACCACTAGTCTCAGACTCTTCTGGAAACTGGACACCATGTATAAATAGAAACATTAAATCAACTTGTTATTCTAAGCTTTCTACAACTTCTCTGTGAGATTCCAAAAACTTTGGCAAGTAAGTTACCTTTGGGAAGAATCAGGTGAGCTGGGTAGAATCCCTCATTATAAGGTTGGCTTTTCTTCCTTTAAAAAAAATGAGCCTGCCTAAAATATATTTCTAAGAAGATACCTTGTCTGAGTTCAATTTAAAATTAGGGCCTCCTATGATGGAGATCGCTCCACCCCATGCACATACTTTTCAGAACCTTATCAGTGCATAGAATAACTAAATTCATTATTTCAGATATAGAATTGAATATTAATTAAAAACAAATGATTTCTGAGTAAGTTAGAAATGCCAAAGCCACAGGACCAGACTTTTGAACAAATAGAATTGAGCTTTCTCCAGACTCCTGCAGTGACTTAGCCACGGGATAGTAAATCAAAGGGTTTGTCTGAAAAACAGACTGCTTTTCCCCAAGCTATGAACCTTTAACATTTTATTCAATCATTTGTCAAATAATGGTGAAGTATTCTAGGAGTCAGGAATGGTAGGGAAAAATAAAAGTTACACATTTTTGAGAAAACTTTGTAGTTTGAAGGGAAAGAGATACTAAATGTTCTTTGTCTCATGAATTAATTACAGCTGCTTCCATGAGTTGCAGTGAGGAGCAGCATGACAGTGGAAAGACTTTTGGGTTTTTATGGAGAAAAGACTTGGTCAATCTGTCAGTAAGCATTTATTAAGCACCTATTATGGGTCAGACACTGTGCTAAGTGTTGAGGATACAAAGAAATGTAAAGACAACCCCTGCTCTTGAGGAGCTTGTAAACTAATGGGGGAGTTCAATTTTGGGCATGTTGCATTTAAAATGTCTACTAGATATCCAGTTTGAGATGTCTGAAAGACAGGTGGAGAAGAAAGACTAGAGGTCAGCAGATAAGTTATTGATGAATAAGTAGATTTGAAAATCATTTTTCTCCTAGGCCATTTCCCCTGCACTAGCTACTTTCTCTTCTCCCCATCTTGACCTCTTGCTGAATTGATTTAACTTTATACTGCCCTCTCTTGAGCTCCCTTATATCACTGATTATGACCAGCCAAGCCTCAATGTTGGGTCACTCCCACAATTTATCCTTCACTCCTACTCATCTGCTGCTGATCATCTGGAAGAAATCATGCAACTTTTCTGATTGGGTTCGCTACAAATTTATTTTATGCAATCTCAACTGGGCCCTCACTGCTGCTAGGCAATCCTATTATACCTTCCTTATTAACTCGCTATCTCACTCTCCACAGTGGCTCTTCCAAACATTTTTCTCCTTCCTCAAATCTCCCATGGCTCCTTCCCTCCCACTTTGCCTCATATTTTATACAAAGCTCCTTGGGAGCAGGTACTGTCTTCTGCATCTTTTTGTATTCCTTTATCTACGATGCTTAAAATTGTGCCTGGTACACAGAAGGTACTTAATAAATGTTTATTGATTGATTAAATAGTATAAAATTTGCAAACCTTAGAAGACTATTTAAATGTAAGTTTATTATTGTTATTATCTCATTCTTCTCATATTTTTGATGCAGTTCAAAAACTATCTCAAGGACAAATAACTATCCTGTTATCATTCTTTTGTATTTATTATTCTGTAGGCTATTGCCCAGGTGAATAAAATCACTTTTTTAAAAAACTAAAAATTTAAAGACAATAGTTTGATGATGTAAGCTTTTCTTTTGTAATCTCACTTAAAGCATCTTTGGAATATCTCCAGTAGCAGAAAACAATGATATTAGCAAACATTTATATAGTGCTTACTATATACCAGGCACTGTAAATGCTTTATAAATATTTCTTATTTAATCCTCATAGCAACCCTAAGTAGTAGAGGCTATTATTATCCTTATTTTATAATTGAGGAAACTGAGTCAGACAGAAGTCAAGTGACTTGCCAACGGTCACACAGCTAGTAAGCATCTGAGGCTGAATTAGAACTCAAGTCTTCCTGACTCCAGACCCAGCCCTCCATCCAATCTCACCACCTAGTGGCCTCTGACAAGATAACAACAATGTTACATATGTATGTTACATACTTCATCCTGTTTCCATGAAGTTTTAATTTTTTCCCCATTATATCTATATTTTGAAAAATCATTCCACATAGCTTAGAAATTGGGCATTCTATGTAGTGATATCTATTAAAAACTTTCGTTTCTGGATTGATATTATGTCTCTAGATCATTGTGTGCAACTGGATTTGTCATGGGTCAATTTATAAAGGATATTAGGCTTCTGGTGTGTAAGTCTAGCTAACTGACTTTTGCCTTTTTAGATGCTTGAATCTAGAATTTAGGTAAATTCTAAATTTTTGCAACCTTAAGTAATATTTCATGCATAATCTATACTGGACAACTGACCCAGGCTCTCTATAATAATTGTGGTTATTATTATTTTTTACTATATTATCACCATATTGCTTTGTGGCAGATCATATCTCAAAAAAGTCTAATGGCAAAAAAACCCACCAAAACAAAACAGAAAAATCTCTAAGGATATGAGGCTTCCCCTTTATATAGTGAAGCTATCTCTCAAATTATACATGATATTAAGAGCATAGGGGATAAATATCAGCCTTGTAATTTCATTGGTATAAAAAATTCCTAGACAAGGGAACTTCCTCTAACCATACCTCTTCATAACTTTCATAGCAAATGATTTCTCTGCGGGTGCTCTTCCAGGTTTGTTTTGGGTTTATTTGAAGCAGAGGAGTAGAGAACAGCATGCTGAATACAGGAAAAACATGGAAATTACCATGGACAATTATCCAGTTAGCCATTGACATCTGAATCTATTAACTTGGCTACAGGGGAATATGGGCTGCCTCGATGGTAGTGGCAAGGAGGTGGTGGAGGAAGATAGTTGAGTTGTATATGTGGTTGTCATGGTTCCCAGGAATCACTGGGTGGGTGCCACTGGATTGGCCATGGAATAGGACCAAAGACTTGTGAGAGAGTTCCAGGCCCCACTTTCTTCTACCAATGGAAGGCAGAAGAGAAATCTTTTGGGAGTTGGGGAGCTGGAAGAGGCAAGCTGCCAAAAAGAATTGGAGAGCTAAGTAGCTGAAGGGGCAGTGGGTGAAGACAAAGTCAGATGCCATTTTGGCATCACTGGTTGGCTTTTAAAGTAAGTTGTTTCCTACTTATTGTGAAATTTTTCCTATAACCCAGTGGAGGTTTCATGTGCTATGGAAATATTGAGCTGGGTGTTGGGGTCATCAGATGACAAGGGGCTCTGCTTTAGGAGTGTACACATCATTTGTTTTTATGGACATTAGTTTATTTGGGTTGAGATATAATGTGTTGCAGACATGCTGGTATGAACAGACTTTTTTGTTTTTGTTTTATAAAGCCATGAAAACACTTTATTATTGGCTAAAGTCATCTCTGATGTCTCCAGTTTCTCAAGTAGAAAAACAAATGTGAAATTGCTTATTTAATGAATTAGCAAAATCAAGAAGTGTACTTCTGTGGAAGTGAAATCTATAAATACTCTTTTCTTCAAACATTTGTTAAAAACCTTATATACAGAGCAATACAAATGAGATTTTAAAAAATCATTTTGCCATATTTAGGTTAACAGTAGAAGGTCTGCCTATTAAGATCACAGTCAATCGACTCATGCTATTTCTCATGCTTTCTGCACTGTTATGTATTTCTGTTCTACCTGAATCATTAGATGGAAGTCTAGATCTCACTTTATCATATCATTTTCTAATGACAAGATAAAAGTGAGAGATTGACTTCTTGGAAATATTCACATAGAACATTTGCTAAATAGAAATAAAGCAAGTTTATGAAACATAGTTGATACTTGTTATTATTCTGTTTTATCAGTTTCTAAAATTCAGAACATCTTGAGATTAGATGTATTGTTGTTATAAGAGTCCTGATATTTTATAAAATAAAAAAAATGAGAAATTGATTTGGTTAGGAATCTATTTATGATCATTGGAATGTGTAAGCCAAATAGCCTCCTGGGAATCTAGTGGCATTTGACCTTCTAGAAAACCCAGATATCTGGTCCTGGTAATTTTTAAAAAAGGCTCCTTATACGTCACTCCTTACCCATAAGAATTTTAAGAATTAATGATCAAATCAGTTCTACTTGCCTTGAGCAAAATGTTACTTAACTGAGCAGATATTGTTAATGAGGTCTCTAGGGTACTATAATAAAGTTTTCCCATGACTCCATAGAAAAAGTATAAAATACTTGAACTTATATACAATACTAAAGTCAGATCATCTATCAGCTAACTGGCTCCTTTGAAGCCAAATTCTCTTATTTTCTCCCTACAAAATTACACTTTGCAAGGGGACATTTACTCATTTTTGTGTGGTTTTCTGCATTCATTCTTTCAAGTCACTAATTCTTCGCCTTCCTTCACCATTATACAGAAGGGAGAGCTGGCAGGTATAAAGGGACACTGTAGAGGAGGCAGGTCAGCTGTTGTGTTCATGTTACCATGACCACTACAGCTCCTGCTGAAAAGAGACTCTGAAAAAAAAATTATATCAACAGCTACTGACCTATATGCCTTCTCACATGTATACAAAATCTTTATCTGGGTCATCTATACGTAAATTTAAGAGTCAATAAACATTTATTAAGCACATACCATGTTCCAGGCACTGAACTGAGTGCAAGGGATACAAATACAAAACGGACAGTTCTACTCTCAAGGAGCTTAGAACCTAATGAGGAAAGACAACATACAAAAGAAAACTGAACAATGTGAGGGGAGGTGGCATAGCGGAAAAGTCCAAGAAGCTGAAAGTGAGTGCAGCCAGATAGGAAATGAGGAAATGTCTGAGGACTAAGGGTATTCTCCATGAGGATATTAGCAAGGAACAAGCAAACTTTCCCAAATGATGTTCAATAATGGACTACATCTTTACCATCTCACAATTGACTGAAGGATGTACATATTTTAAGAGCCCATTATGTTTGTTGCTTACTGGTTATGAAAAAAAAAAGCAGAGGAGTTGATAGAACCAGATACTACCTCACAGAATTTTTTACATCAAGGTCTCTCCCATTTGTGTATCAAGGTTGTTCAAGATTCTTTGGAAAATGAAGTAATAGGGGCAGGTAGGTGGTACAGTGGATAGAGCGCCGGCCCTGGAGTCAGGAGGACCTGAGTTCAAATCCGGCTTCAGACACATAACACTCACTAGCTGTGTGACCTTGGGCAAGTCACTTAACCCCCATGGCCTCACAAAAAAAAAGGAAAATAAAGTAATAGAAATAATGCCACTCAGTGACTTCTAATAATAACTATCAAGCAAGGCGCGAAAAAGGAAAATGTATGCTTCCCAAAAGTATTTGCCACTCTAATGGATGATAGTTTAGATTCCAGGTTGAGGAAAGATTTCCCATGGATAGTGAGGTCCTCCGATCATCCTGTTTGCAAATGTCTTTGTTAATTGCGTCAAGCCCCAGGACTATGTATAACACTCTGAAAGAGATCTGAAATCACTGAAAAGAGTTTGGCCTGTTCATCCATCCAGAAAAGACCAAAGGATGAAGAACGTCTACTGCCCAGCTCTCAAAATGCCTGTGGAGCGTGTCCAACCAACAATATGCATATTTGGGAAAGACAATAGAAATAGATAAGGAGTTAGGCCCAGAGCAAGGAAAGCAGGTTAGATTCCTTTCAGGAAGCTGCCAAGCACTGTCACTGATTCCAAGTTTCCTATAACAGCAAATATTCACTTTTCCAATACAAACAGTTTACTGATCTTGCTGTATAAAAGAGAGACCTACAATGCTACTGCATTGCATTGAGGGCAGTGGGATGTGAGCAGTCTGTAACATGTAACCAAAGAAGGATTTGAAGAACAGGAGTAAAGCGTGCCAGGATTAAACAGTTGTATGGCGAAAAGAAAAGATGAGCTGGTCATGAGGCAAGAGGATGGCCAGAGTCAAAGTGCTCCAACGATTTCCTCAAGATGTCAGGAGAAAGGGGAGGAAGTCCTCCAGGATGCTGAATCCTGTTCCCTGCCTCCCCCCCCTCCATTAGATGGTGATCTTTGGGGAGGAAATGGATGAGAATCTCATAGTATGGGCAGGCTTTGATGGCATATAATCTGTGTCATTGGAGGGAACTTGTTGATATCGTAGATCCATCTGAATATTGGGAGTGGGGTGCAGAGAGGAAGGCTCAACAGCCATGTTTATGCTGCCTGCATAATATCATAGGTCTAGAGCTGGAAGAGATTTTAGAGGACATATAGTCCAACACCTTCATTTCCTAATAGAAGGCCAAAGAAGTTAAGTGGCTTGCCCAAGATCTCACAAATAATATACATCAGAGTTGGAATTTGAACCCTGTTTCCTCCTTAGAACTAGGACTGATCTCCTTGCCTAAAATTTTGCTCTACCTATGGCAAAGTGATTCTATAGCAAGTCTTTTCTTTTGGAATCTACATCAAGTCTTTTTCTTTATCCTAGGAAGGGTACAGAAGAAGGTTTTAATAGGATCACAGATTTAGAGAGGGGAAGGATATTAAAGGCCGTCAAATTTGACTCTCTTTTTTAATAAATGAGACAATTGAATCACAAAGAGGTTAAATGATTTCTCAAAGGTTACATACAAGTTTCCCTTTGCTTCTAGGAACCTTGTAATAGGGGCTGGGATGGAAGAGGGAGAAAGAGAGAGGGAGAGAGACAGAGAGGAAGAGAGACAGAGAGAGAATGAATCTGAGGCTGCAAAATATTTTAAAGGCCTGAAAAATTGCCATGCCTCCCAATGCTGAATACATTGCTGTCATTTAGGCCTTAGTAGCTTTCAGAATGGATTATAGTCAGGAAATGAGAAATATAAGAACCAAAGATATACGTTGCATTTGGAAAACCGCATTATAAGGTTATGAGTGCATTGAGGCTTCTAACCTCTCTTTCTCTCCCCTCATATATGCATGCATATCCATATATGTGTTAGAATATGTGTATGTGAGAGATTGCCCTGTAAAAAGTATACTAGTGAGCATTTAAGGTTCTATGATGAGCTAATGGGAGCAAGGAGACTTTTCAAGGTCTCTCATATTTACCACTAACCATTGTCACAATGAGAAAGCTCAAGGCTGGCATTTTAATGGTCAGTGAGACTTGTCCAGCTCTCAAATATGCCTCTATTGCTGAGAGGCAGTGTGGGACAGTAGAAAGATCACTGATTCTGAAATTAGCAGACATCTGCAAATTCTGGCACTTAGTCGTTGGCTCTCCGTGTGCAAACTACTTAATCGCTGTAAAAACCTCAGTTTTCTGAATTGTGAAAATGGAGATAATACTTGTAACACTTGCCTCATAAGGTTGTTATGAAGAAACTGTGTAAACCTAAAGCACATTGAATGTGGACCAGTTGGTATGGAGGACGGTGGAGTGGTGAGGAGAAATGCTTTTCTGAAAAGAAGTAGAAGACTCTAGAATCAGTGTTTCCTTTCATTCTGTTTGAGTTGATGAGGAAACAAGCTTGAAGACTGGGATGCAAAAGACAATTGCTTCCTTTTACATCAAACTAAAGCTGAAATCAAGTGGAAACTCATTTAATCTTAAATGCAGGATCCTTTCTTTTTTTAAAGGAGGGCTGGCCCCCACCACTAGAGATTTCATTGAAATTCAATTTAACAAGCATTTATTTAGCCCTGAATTTAGCTCAGAACTAAAGTAGGCCATAAGGGAGAAAATGTAAGGTACCTGCCCCCAAGGAAGTGACAAACATTTTGTGGAAAGAAATACAAATGTGAAATAGTTAAATAAGACTTAAATGCAACAAAGAATTAAATCCTAGAATGAATGGTATGGACAAATGCTATAGTAGGAATTAAGGAAGGGAATAAGCATTTATATAGCACAGGCACTGTGCTAAAACACTTTTACAAACATTATTTCATTTGATCCTCACAACAACCCTGACAGGTAGGTCCTGTTATTATCCTCCTTTACTGGTGAGGAAACTGAGGTTTAATGACATGCACAGAGTTGGCGCAGCCAGTAAATTTCTGAGGCTTGATTTAAAACTCAAATCTAGCCTGATGCCAGGCCCGCACTCTATCCTCTGAGCCTTCAGCTTCCTCTAGAGGAGGCAGAGAAAGAGTAGTGCAGGTTGGGGTGGGGAGACAGGGTTTGGAAGGCTCCAAAGAGGACTTTGGCTGAGCCTCCAAAGGTGTCTAGGATTTGATCGGGTTTGACCCTACAGAGCTGTGGACATGGCTTGAAC